GGGGGGTAGTATTTGACCTTGTTGTTTATAGGCATGGACAAGGATTCTGTTGCCTGAAGATCGGCCTATTGTTTCCCTTGATGCCTACTTGACTAGGTAGCAATGCAAAGACAATACGCAATACGTGATTTCCCCTGTTCAGTCAAGGAGTGAATCTTTAACTGTAATTTAACTGTTTCTGAGTTTAAGAATGTGAAAGTGGTGAGTGAAGTAGGGCAAGACAAGAAATCAGACAGAGTGAGAAAAATGGTTTTGGAGAATTTTCTACAGAGTCCAATGGCATTGTGGTAAAATCGAAGAAACCGAAATGTTTCTGCCTGTTGATATCGATATTTTTTTTTTCAAATTTCAATATTAAAAAAACACTTTTTGTAATAGAAAGGGGAAGGGGGGGGGTCTGCTAAACACTTTTTACATCCATTTGACAATACTTTTCTGTGTAGATTATGCTAAAAAAAACCTAAATGTTGACTAAAGACACCAAACATGTGAACGCGTAGCTTCCAGGGACACTCAATCGTTCCGAGTCACCACGCTTTTGAAACCATTCTCGCTATTTTTATCTCTATCACCAGGCGATTCACGGCACCTTCAATAGAAAAAATCGTGACTTTTGTTCCAGCTAGATGGACATGTCATTTTTTCCACCAAAAGTGAGGCAAATTGAACAAGTGTTCCGATGATACCAATAACTTCAAGTATGTGCCCTACAATCGACGACTGCCCATTTCCGACACAAGTAATAATTATTGTCGTCTAGCCGTATCTGATTTTTTAAAAACTAAGATGACGTCACTGGCAATATTCACAAGAATCAAAGTTGTGTTTTCTCCATAAAAGCAAAGGCCTCGAACAAATGACCCCCCCCCCCAAAAAAAAAAAAAAAGATGCCGACTGGATCTGTAAAGAGCAGGACACTTCAGGTTTCGGGGTTTTTGTCGGGGTTTTTTTTGTTGCATTGTTTAAATCGTAACATTTTTCTCGACGTAGAATCTGTCTTTTATATAGCCGGAAATTAAGCTCACTCACCAGGACTCAGTGGAGAAGAACTATTCCTGGTAGAATAATGAAGAAACTATCTCTGTTATACTACATTTTAAATGAGTGTCTCTGGTAAGTTGGGGTAAGCGCTTGAGCATCCAATGTGTAACTGTTTACCACCCAATAGCTTGCCCAGTGTTGATCAGCAGAAGGCAATTTCATGAAAAAAAGGAAATTTCCCTTTCTATATCCCTGCTGTTTAAATGGAATTCTTGACCATTTCCAAACATAGTTGGCAATTTCTTTTGTGTTTTCAGGTCGAAGGAAAATTCCAATTTGGAGCCGCCGAAGGAGATATTGTGTCCAAATGTTCAAGAACCAGATATCATCCAACACTTGAAGGTGAACTACGGGTTAACGATTTCCAAGGTCAGCAGACTCAATGGATACGATGACTGCAATTTCAACGTTCAGGCTGAGAAAGAGCACTCGAACCCAAACATCCAGCAAATTGCTCCCAATGGCTACTTCGTCAAAGTGTCCAACATAATGGATTCGGAAAACCCAGAAATGTTGCGTAAGTGATTATCATTACCGCGAAGGAGTAGATAATTTTGTTTGTCTCAACACCCGATTATTATCTTAACATCGTCTTAAGAACTATCAGTACAGCGCTAAACAGGGCCATCACACTGTATCGAGTGTCGGCCTTACTACTGCGTTCTATGACCTCTTTAACTCTTAGCATACGAAAGGCTATCCCACCTTCAAAAGCAGCCAACTTTGTCATCCGATTTTTGAACATCACAAACTTCTCTGAAATAGATCTACCACTCTCAACCTATGTTCAAACATTTAATATCGCCAAACTGAGAAGAAGAGAATGATCCTTGCAATAGATATACATATTTTCTTTCTTTTTTTAGTAGAAGTTTTACGGCGCTCGCAACTGCGTAAGGTCAATATATGAGCGCCAGAAGATTAAAGGTGTTACAAGGGAGTAACAAACAAAAAAAGAAGAAGGGGAGATAAGGAAGATAGATGTTTGATAGGAAAGACGAAGCAAACCACAGCAGAGCACCCGCCAACCACCCACTCATATATCTTTATTATAGACAAGATCGATTTGTTGAGGTTTCGTAGATTTATTTTTGTAATGACTTAAACAACAGAGCAATGCTGTGTGCCAACTGAACTGGTTCGCTGAATACTAAGATGCAGCTGTTCAGCCGATACACAGGATAGTCTTATTAAGATTGAAATTCACCGGGGGGTTTTTTTGTAGACCACGTAATGATCATTTCCAACTGCCCATTCACAAAGGCAAAAACTGACGATGGGCACTTTTAGCGGTTAAAAAATGCATTCTGGTAGTCTAGTTATAACCTTTAGGTCTGTGATTGTATTGCTTTTGTGGCGTATTTGATAGGGATAATATAAATGTCCAGTGAACACAGTAGCCCTGTATAGTGCTGCATTACAAGTTTTTGAAACGATGTTGATATAAACATGCCGGTGTTGAGACAAACATCCCCTAAATGAAGTTTAGGTGTATGGGTTTTTTTTTTTTGGGGGGGGGGGGAGGGTTGTTGGCAAGTGTTTTACGGCGCTCGCAACTGCATAAGGTCATATGAGCGCGCCGGACACATTAAACCTTTTCACTTGGTAGGGAATTTTGAATTTTGCCCGGGTGGCGGCCGAAGCCTACTCTTATCGATTTTAGACAACCAAGGAATCTTTAACGTGCACAACTTGAACACGGGCCCTCCGAGATTTTTCGTCCTTGTCCGAGAAGGTTTGGTGTAGATCTTTCCTACCAGAAGATCAGGGGTGCGGCTGAAAGATAGCAGTAAGAAGGAGCCAAGGAGTAATAGTAGAAAGGCTGCAGAAAGAGTCAAGAGACCAGAGGAGGGGGCAAAGGAGGTGAGGGGGTGGGGGCAGAAGGAGGGGACGAAACCAGACGACAGAACATTGCTAGAGAGCAAGAAAGGAGGTGAAAGGAGACAATTTTAGAAGAAAAAAAAAGTTTCGGTCAATTCTCTGATTCGAACCCGGGACTTTTGAATGAGAAGCTAACACCTTAATCTCTAGGCCACGAGAGCCCTCGAATAACTAACTGAAAGATCAATCTGAAAAAGACTTTTACTGTAATTACAGAGGTGAGAATATGTGATAAACTCTTTGGGTGTTACGAAGATGGAAAACTGTGTTAGTTGTTGAATCGCCCTTTGTTTTAACTTTTGGACCCCCTCTGACGGAGATATAACTGTTTAGTAGAATGCTTTTGAGTGGCCTTGAGTAGTGTTGTTTTCACTGTTATTTATATAATGATGCTAAGTTGTTGTTTTTTTTTGGGGGGGAGGGTTTAGTAAGTGTTTTACGGCGCTCACAACTGCATAAGGTCATATGAGCGCGAGGGACACATCTAATACTTTTAGTTGGAAGGAAATTTTGAATTTTGCCCGGGTGGCGGCCGAAGCCTACTCTTATCGATTTTAGACCACCAAGGGATCTTTAGCGTGCGCAACTTGCACACGGCCCTCCGAGATTGTTCGCCCTTGTCCGAGAAGGCTAGATGTAGATCTTTCCTACCAGAATATCAGGGGTGTGCCAGAAAGACGGCTGTAAGAAGGAGTCAAGGAGTAGCAGTAGAAAGGCTGCAGAAAGAGTCAGGAGCCCTGAGGAGGGGGCAAAGGAGGTGAGGGGATGAGGGCAGAAAGAGGAGACGAAAGCAGACAACAGAATATTGCTAGAGTGCAGGAAAGGAGGTAAAAGGAGACAATTTTAGAGAAGAAAATTTTTCGGTTGCTACCCGGATTCGAACCCGGGACCTTTGAATGAGAGGCCAACACCTTAACCTCTAGGCCACGAGAGCCCCCATGCTGAGTTTACATAACACTTGTAACAAATGAATAACGAGATGATCAACACAGAAAAATAAACAGGTTATAAATGCAAAAACGAGTTATGAGCAGTTTGAAAGTCTATGAGAATAATGCACTATGGTAGTCTAATATTTCATCAGCACCTTCTCCATGAAAAATGTCTTTCAGACGCGCAGGAGGCGTCGGTGCGCGCGGGTCGGTAGCTCATAGTGGTTAGGCACCGGACTCGTAATCGTGAGAATGCCGGTTTGGGGGTTCGAGCCCCAACTCGGTCCGACGTTGTGTCCTTGAGAAAGGGAATTCACACGAATTTCCCAGTTGGCTCCGTCCTTTCGGAAATAACCTCTTATATAACCTAATAGTGTTGATAGGAGCGTAAAACCTATACAATTTCTCCTTTTTTTCAGACGCGCAGATGCAAGCAATGCAACATCTCGTCAACAAAGGGATCCTGTGCCAGAGTTCGGTGAAGAGTATTCAAAATCAGGACTTCACCGACATTAAAGCGACTACAAAAGCAGGTGACGTGGCAAATAATGTGATGATCGTCTTTCCATTAAAACATTGCCCACCCTTAGCCATTTCTACCAGTGAGTTGATTCGGGACTACAAATGATAACATTGTACCCCCTGCACACCGGCATAATAATTCTACATCCATCTAATGATGGAACTGGACACTTGACTGAAATTCTATCTTCAAATTTTAATGCATTCTTGAAATAATTTCCATGGTTTATCAGCTTTCAAAATGCTTCATCCTTCTAAATAATCAGATTTTTTAAAAAATGTCTGCCAATGCGTGAAAAGCGGCGTTTTTGCTCTTGTGCATTAGTCCAATTACTATTTTGGTATATTATTTAGTCCGTCAATGCCGAAAAAAGCTGTAGTAATATCAGGTATATTATGTAGTGAACCTCTGATCCCAATTCTTTCGCTCAACAAAGGATTTGTCTCGATAAAAATAGTTTTAGAACTATTTAGAACTATGAATAAAACACAGAACTGTATCATGTTAAAACGCCTTCAGATGTACGTTTAATTGAAGTTTGCCAGTTGTGTTTTATTACATTTGTTAATTAATAGATTGATTTCAAATGTGAATGTTTCTCACGTCCCCATCAACGCAATTTACATCATTTCGGACACTCAGGGTATAATTTACCAAGAGAATTACTGAGATGCTCGATAATAAAAAATGCTTCCCTCTTGCGCAGAATCGAACTCGGATCTCCTGCTTGCGACAGAGAAGCGTATGAAGCAGTTAACACTGGTTTTATTATTTTCCTGTTGCAGAATGCAATCTTCTCGGTGAATAAACTTGGACTATTATCTAACTAAAGCCATATTTAAAGTACCGTTACAAACTACTACTACTACTACTACTACTACTACTACTACTACTACTACTACTACTACTACTACTACTACTACTACTACTACTACTACTACTACTTCTACTACTACTACAACTACTACTACTACTACTACTATTACTATTACTACTACTACTACTACTACTACTACTGCTGCTGCTGCTGCTGTTGCTACTACTACTACTACTGCTGCTGCTACTGCTGCTGCTACTACTACTACTACTACTACTACTACTACTACTACTACTACTACTACTACTACTACTACTACTACTACTACAACTACTATTATTGTTATCTAATGTCGCAGGAGAGGAAAGAACACATAAAGTATCAGTGAGGACCTTCCTTCCCGGAGAGCTGCTAGCCAAGGCCACCCTGACACCCGGCGCCTTGTACAACATCGGTGCCTATGTAGCCAAAGTTACTCAGGCTTTGGAGGTAAAGCATAACTAGATCAGGTCGGGTCAGGTCGGGTCGGGTCGGGTCGTGTCAGGACAGTTCGGTTCATTGCAGTTCAGTTCGGGTCGGTTCGGGTTGGGTTGGGTTGGGTCGGGTCGGGTTGCAACACATACATTATATTTGACAGGAAAGAACGAACAAACTACACCAGAGCACCCGCCTGCCACCCAGACAGACATACAGACAGACATACAGACAGACAGACAGACAGACAGACAGACTGACATACAAACAAGCAGGCACTCTCTGTCTTTTTTCTTGATTTTTGTATCTTACTCCAGTTCCAATTTGCCCGGAAAGACGGGTTTAGTTGACAGCCTTCTTATATAAAAAAAATACATCAACATTATTGTAAGGGGCGTTAAACAGTGATAATTATTCATGCATGCAGAGAAGAAGGAAGTAGGGGAGGGCTTCAGACGAGAGAGAGAGAGTGAATGAGAGAGAGAGAGAGAGAGAGAGAGAGAGAGAGAGAGAGAGAGAGAGGGAGAAAGAGAGAGAGAGGAGAAAGAGAATGACAACGTGTGTGTGTGTAAATGAGTGAGTATGTGTGCGTGTGGCTTTTAGTCTGTATCAAATAAAGTGTCTAAACATCTGACAAAAACACACACAAAAAAAGAAACCCTCCTCCCTCTCCGAGCTCTATCAGTATCAGAACCAAAAAAGCTTCTCGAGAAAATCTACGCCGTTACAAAGAAGGGCACCCCGAATGTGTTCGCATGCCAGCACATTTGAATGGATTTTGTTTTACATAATAACATAACCAGCGTATCATCTCACCAAGGAGACTCTTGTGCTTACACTGAGCTCAACAGACACACCGTCTCAGGCGCCGCTCTGTGGAACGTCTTGGTGTCTTCATCTGGGTACAGACAAGTTCGACGATGACGCTGCTTTTTATTATGACCTCTAACCTCAATATCCGGGTAGCTAGAGTATCAATTACTGGTATTATACAAGCCTTTCACAATATTATATGTTCTGCTTGGTACCAAGGACTATAAGCGAACACAGAGCTCGTGGCGTCCCCGAGAGGATAAATTATCGTTTCAAAACAATTTTAATATATAATGAAGACCCAAAGTCTGATTTTTTCATTTAATTTAAACGCCATGAATTGCAAATTGGTTGACTTTTGAGGGTTATTTCCGTTGTTGATCTTCTTTGTAGGGATCTTTTCCATGTCCAACGTGTTCCAAAGAAGTTATGTGACCATGTAATTTATTCTCGCGATATAGCAACATGAAAAGTAAAGGCACGAGGGAGAGAGATCGAGAGAGATCGAGAGAGAGAGAGAGAGAGAGAGAGAGAGAGAGAGAGAGATCGAGAGATAGAGAGAGATCGAGAGAGAGAGAAAGAGAAAGAGATCGAGAGAGAGATCGAGAGGGAGAGAGAACGAGAGAGAGATCGAGAGAGGGATCAAGAGAGAGAGAGAGAGAGAGAGAGAGAGAGAGAGAGGGGGATAGATTTAGGTGCGGATAACTACTCAGAATTTCCTCTGCTGCTGAACACACCACAGCAAATTTCTCATTGTAAAGCGAAAGTGTATGGGTTTAAGATGACGTGCCTGTCAACGCTATTAGGTTATTTAAGTAGTGTAAGAAGCGGAACCTCCGAATATAAGGTGTGTTTCCGAAAGGACAAGGCCAAATGGGTTGAAAGATGAAAGCCTTGAAAACTCCGCAAAACGGCCCGAGTTCAAAAACGACCAGTCTGGGATTCGAGCCAGGGTCATCCGCCTCATAGTCTAGCATAAGAGCAACTGAATTAACGGGCGGGGCATCCCTTATTCTGGGATCGATAAAATTTGTCGTTTTCATAGTCTTCGGCATAGGCATTTCTGTGAGGAAACACGTTAATCTCACAAACACATCTGTCTAGTTTTTTCAAACAAGTATAGTATAGTATAGTATAGTATAGTATAGTATAGTATAGTATAGTATAGTATAG